GGGAATATATTCCAGAGAGGCAAAAAAGTATAGTCGAAATGACATCTGCACTTGTTTGTTCATTGCAGCACTCTTTACAATAGCCAGAAACTGGAAGAAACCTGAATGCCCAAGAACAGATGACTGGTTAAAGAAACTTTGGTACATCTACACAATGGAGTACTATGTAGCTGTTAGAAAAGATGAAGTAATGAAATTTACATACAAGTGCTACAACATGGAAAGTATCATGCTAAGCGAAATGAGTCAGAAAGAGAGGGATAGACATAGAAAGATTGCATTCATCTGGGGGATATAAAGTAACAAAATAGGAGACTAACACTTAAGAATGGCCGAGATTAGTACCAGGATTTTTACTCCATGGCTTGGAGGCCAACCACACATGCTAGGGGAAAAGCGAGCTCAGATAGAGAAGGGAACACCAAATAAAGGTGTTGGGAGGATCCTCCCAGGATGGGAAAAGCATGCTGAAAGTAGACTATAGACCAAACATTATTGTCACCCATTGCCTCTTTTGCAAACCACAACACCCAATAAGAGAGAATAAAAGGGAATGCTCTGCCACAGAGGCAGGGTGGGATGGGGGGGATGGGGGGTGGGAGGGATACTGGGATCCGTGGTAGTGGGAAATGGGCACTGGTGGAGGGATAGGCATTTGATCATTGTATAATTGAAACCCAAGCACAGAAATTTGTAAGTCTACAACTGTACCTCATATGCCTCACTAATAATAAAATATATATATATATATATATATGGGCATTGGGTCTGTGAAACACCCCAATGTTTCCACCCCAGAGTGATGGAAAGATTTAGAAGCTCCAAGATAAAATTTACATCATATAAATTGCTTATTAATAAGAATTGTGCTATTTCTGTATTTTAAATTCTTATGACATTAATAGAATATGCTAACTCATATTTTAAATGCAATTTTTGAAGGTGGGAACTGGAGAGATAGTACAGCAGGTGAGTCCCCTGGGCTCAACCCCCTACACCCTATATGGCCCCGGAGCCCACCAGGAATGATCTCTGAGCACCACTGGTTGTTGCCCCAAAATAAAACAAAAACAATCTCTGAAGGTGAGAGAGGAAAGTTATTATAGCTCTTTCACAGTTTATTTAAAAACGTATAAAAAGCTAACTAACTCAACAAACAAATATAACAACACAGAAGGCTCAACTTAGTAACAAACAGCTTAATAAATTCTTAGAGGGGCTGGAGCAATAGCACAGCGGGTAGAGCATTTAATTCGATTCCCAGCATCCCATAAGGTCCCCTGAGCACCGCCAGGGGTAATTCCTGAGTACAGAGCCAGGAGTGACCCCTGTGGATCACTGTGTGTGAACCAAAAAGAAAAAAAAAAATTCTTAGACAAGGACTTAATAATCCTGTGATCAGATATAAAACTTTTCACATAAAAAATGATTTTTAATGCACTATAGCACTATCCTCCCATTGTTTATCAATTTGCTCAAGCGGGCCCAGTAACGTCTTCCTTGTGAGACTTGTTACTGTGTACTATGTTTGGCATACCAAATACGTCACGGGGAGCTTGCCAGCCTGTGTCATGCGGACGGGATACTCTCGGCAGCTTGCCCGGCTCATTTAATACTCATTAATTTTAACATTGAAGCTTTTCTATCTAATCAATTTCAACTTCAGAATTGTATCAATTAATGTGGCTTTTATCTACATTAAATTAAAAATTAAGAGATCGGGGCTGGAGCGTTAGCACAGCAGGTAGGGCATTTGCCTTGCATGCAGCCGACCTGGGTTTGATTTCCAGCATCCCATATGGGCCCCGGAGCACCGCCCGGAGTGATTCCTGAGTGCAAAACCAGGAGTAACCCCTGAGCATCACTGGGTGTGACACAAAAAGGAAAAAAAAAAAAAAAGAAAAATTAAGAGGCTGGAGCAATAGTACAGTAGGTAGGATGTTTGCCAACCTGGGTTCGATTCCTGGCATCTGATATGGTCCGTCAAGTAAAGTTAGGAATAAATCTTGAGTGCAAAGCCAGGAGTAACCTCTAAGCACGACTGGGTGTGATCCAAAAAACCAAAAAAGATTCAGCTGTAGAGAAGGACAACATGGAGGGCGGGATCCACAGATCCCGAAGGAAAAAAAAAAAAAAACAACAGGTTCCAAAAAGAGCCGAGATCATCGGGAAGTCCCAGATGAGGTAGGTACCCCATCCCGTCTCCCCCAGATGGAACCCCGGTGACCAGAAGTCTCTACAAGCACAGCTCGAGTATGCGGGAACTAGGACTCTATATACAAAGTGATCCATGGGAAGTAAACCACCCAACGTTTCTCTGTGAAAATCAGAGTTAAGTTTGGAGCACGGCCACAGCCCCAGAAACACAAGGACTTAATGCAGAACCCAGCAACTTGGAGCAGAAAAGTGAACGGGCTATTCGTTAATCCAGGCCATCATGTCTGTCCGGAGGGGAAAGGGTGTTGCCCCATTCGCCCTCTCTTCTCTGGAAAGAAGGATGGCGGCCGCATGGGGGCCTTGTGGACAGCAGGTATGAGCCAGGGGTGTGGGGGCGACTAAAACCTCATGGGAAGGGGGGTGTTCTGGTCCATCCTTCACGCCCTACCGAGGTCACCAGTTGCCCCCCACGAGCGGCTCTCCAGCACGGCCACAGCCCCAGAAACACAAGGATTTAATGCAGAACCCAGCAGCTTGGAGCAGAAAAGTGAACGGACTATGCGTTAATCCAGGCCATCAAGTCTGCCAGAGGGGAAAGGGTGTTGCCCCATTTGCCCTCTCTTCTCTGGAAAGAAGGATGGCGGCCGCATGGGAGCCTTGTGGACAGCAGGTATGAGCCGGGGGAGTGGTGGCGACTAAAACCTCATGGGAAGGGGGGCGTTCCGGTCCATCCTTCACGCCCTACCAAGGTCACCAGTTGCCCCCCGTGAGCGGCTCTCCAGCACGGCCACAGCCCCAGAAGCACAAGGACTTAATGCAGAACCCGGCATCTTGGAGCAGAAAAATGAAAGGACTATGCGTTAATCCAGGCCATCAGGTCTGTCCGGAATGGAAAGGGTGTTGCCCCAGTCGCCTTCTCCTCTCTGGAAAGAAAGATGGCAGCCGCATGGGAGCCTTGTGGACAGCAGGTATGAGCCGGGGGAGTGGGGGTGACTAAAACCTCATGGGAAGGGGGGGCGTTTCGGTCCGCCCTTCACGCCCTACTGAGGTCACCAGTTGCCCCCCATGAGCGGCTCTCCAGCACGGCCACAGCCCCAGAAGCACAAGGACTTAATGCAGAACCCAGCAGCTTGGAGCAGAAAAGTGAAAGGACTATGCGTTAATCCAGGCCATCATGTCTGCCCGGAGGGGAAAGGGTGTTGGTCCCTTCCGCCCTCCTCCCTCTGGAAAGAAAGATGGTGGCTACATGGGAGCCTTGTGGACAGCAGGTATGAGCCGGGGGTGTGGGGGCGAAAAAAACCTCATGGGAAGGGGGGCGTTCTGGTCCGTCCTTCACGCCCTACCGAGGTCACCAGTTGCCCCCCGCGAGCGGCTCTCCAGCACGGCCACAGCCCCAGAAGCACAAGGACTTAATGCAGAACCCAGCAGCTTGGAGCAGAAAAGTGAAAGGACTATGCGTTAATCCAGGCCATCAAGTCTGCCAGAGGGGAAAGGGTGTTGCCCCATTTGCCCTCTCTTCTCTGGAAAGAAGGATGGCGGCCGCATGGGAGCCTTGTGGACAGCAGGTATGAGCCGGGGGAGTGGGGGCGACTAAAACCTCATGGGAAGGGGGGCGTTTCGGTCCGCCCTTCATGCCCTACTGAGGCCACCAGTTGCCCCCCACGAGCGGCTCTTCAGCACAGCCACGACTCCAGAGCACAGAAAGCAATTTCTTAACTATCTGACTTTCAGTAGAAATACTTCCAGGGTCAATAAGTAAAATAGCAGAAATCCAAAACCAACATTTAATTCTTGAACCCAGCTGTAGAAAGCAAATCACTTCACAATGCTTTTTCAGCATGTCTGATTTGGGGGGGGGGGGGGGTAAACTCTAAATAATAGTGGTGAATCTTTTATTGAAACAATGAATCTAATCAGAGTAGATAGAGTGTTAACTAGAATTCATCTGCCCCACAGGGACTGGGAGGGGTGGGGGGTGGGGTTTTATTGGGGTTCTTCATGGTAAAAAATAAGTATTGGTAAAGGGAAATGTGTTTGATATTTGCATGACTGAGACCTAAACCTGAAATCTTTGTAACCTTTCCCACGGTGATTCAATAAAGAAATAAATTTAAAAAATAAATAAATAAATAAATAAAAATGATGAGTTAAAAAAAAACCAAAAAAAAAAAATTTAAATAAATTTAAACTTAAAAATAAATTCTAAAAATTTATTTGTAAATAAGATATCATGTTTTAAATCCAATAGAAGAAAAGAATTTCAACTCTATTTCTAAGCAAGAATGCTGAAAAAGATTGAACTAAGTCTTTAATAAGAATCATGGAATGGTAATATTCATAGTTTTTTTAAAGAACAGAGTTGAAAAATGGCCAAAAACAATTTAATTTAAGAATTTAAGAATTGGTCTACAGGGGCCAGAATGATAGTACAGTGGGGATGGTGTTTGCCTTCCAATGCGGCCAACCCAGGTTCAATACCTGGTATCCCATAGGGTTCCCTATGCACTGCCAGGAGTAATTCCTGAGTGCAAAGTCAGGAGTAACACCTGAGCATCACTGGGTGTGACCCAAAAAGAAAAAAGAAAAAGAAAAGAATTGGTCTACAAGTATAGCTCATCAGCATAGTGAGATGAGGGGAGTGGGGTGAGTATGATGAGGCAAAGGCAAGGTGGACTGGGAGGGAGAGCACCTAGGACAATGGTGGAGCAAAATGGGCACCTCAGTGGAGGGTCTTGTTTTGGATTGGCATAAAGCAATGCAGAATTATAAAACACAGTGACTACAAAAAAGAAGGGGTGAGAGGGTAGGAAGAAAAGAGTTAGTGTGTTATAATGCTCACATACCACTCAGTGCTCCAACAGCTCCAAAATTTAAAGATTTTCCATCCATTATGCTGGCATCACATTCAATTTCACCCAAGAGATTTAGATTAGATCCCATTCCTGCATTTGTAAAAGGAGAATCCTAAAAGATAAAAACAAAAATTAAAATACAATTAGGTTTTTGTTTCTTGTGGAGGGAGAGGAGAAGGATCAATCCTGACAGGATATGGAGATCACGTATGCTGCCAAGGATCAAACCTGGGTAGGCTGCATATAAGGCAATGGCCTTACCCAGTATACTAACTTTCAGGCCCTGAAATACAATTAGTTTTTCTAAAATAATTAACTTAATCCCTGATAACTCTTACAAAAAATGAGGGTGAAGTACACTTCTCAATTCAATGTTATATTAGGGTACCATAATTTCAAATTATGTGCACGCACACACACACACACACACACACACACACACACACACACAAATTAGTAGGAAAGGAAACAGAATAATATACCTTATGAATTTTAGCAGAATCTCCTGTCCCTGTGCCAGGCTGTCTTCACCAGGGCCCCGGGGGGGAGGGGGCTTGAGTCTCCCTCCCTGCTCCAAGCAGAACCCCGGCAGCAGAAAACCTCCAGAATCCAGCCACAGCCATGCTCAAATTCACTCTCCACACACTCAGATGAGCCACCCATGAGGGAACCAACAGAGGAACCCAGGAATGTGGGACCCGGGTCTGAGATCTCCAAGTCTGCTCAGATCGGGCTTCATCCACCCAACTCCCCAATTTTCCAGCAGCTTGGCAGTCACACCCACAAACTGCCCTGGCGCCATTTAATCCCATCAACGGCCAAGAGTCAGAGACTATAAAACAAATCAGTTTCTTGATTTGTTTCTTCCCGGATGCAGTTTCTTCCTCTCAGAGAGCCCAGCAAGCCACCGAGAGTATCCTGCCCACACAGCAGAGCCTGGCAAGCTACCCATGATGTATTCAGTATGTCAAAAACAGAAACAATAATGGGCCTCATTCCCCTAACCCTGAAAGAGCCCCCAGTTTGCCATTGGGCTATGCTAGTACTCAACAGGGATGAGTGGAGACGTTACTGGCACCTGCTCGAGCAAATTGATGAACAATGGGACAACAAGTGATACAAGTGATGAATTTTTGACATATATCCTCAATAATATAAAAGACAAAAAATGCAGCAAAATATAAAATAATTATATACCAAGAATAAAACAAATTCCAGGAGACCAAGTTTGATTGACTATCTGAAATTCACTGTACTAGACCATGTTATTAAGATAATGGAACAAAAGATGAATATTATCAGAAGAGACCACTAAAGAAAAAGCATTTGACAAAATCAATTCCCTTAAATAAAAAAAAGCAAAATTTTTTTAAAAAAAGAAAGCTGTTAAGCAGCTTATCTACAAAAAAGTCCAGATCTAGCATCATAATTACTACTGATAGAATGCTTTCACCAAATATAAACAGGGTAGTGTTTGCATGTACTAATTCTATATTTTACTCATCTGGACAACACAATTATACAAAAGAAATATTTTTCCAAAAATCTCCAAGCATCCAAGATGCTTTTCAAGTAATAAAGAACATGTTTTTTAAGAGTTAAGTCCTGGGTTTATCCCTGGCACTACATGGTCCCCAAAAGACTGCCAGATGTAGCCCTTGTAGCGCTGAGCACCTTCACCTGTGACCATACATGGTCCCAAAAGGTGTGATCCCACCAAGATTTTTTTTAGTAAATTCAAATGACAAAGTATTTACAGGGCTGGGGAGATAGTAGAAAGGGGTGGGGTGCAAAATAAAAAGACCCAAATCCTGGTTCCAGCAATACACAAGCACCACTGGATATGACACTAAAATTACTGGCAATGCAGGCCCCAAGGGCACTACATGTTTGGGGCCTAGTACACAACCATCCAGCACAGTGGGCAAAAAACGCCTGGGAGTGGCCCCCAAGTCCCCTAAGCATCACTTGGGAGCCTCACCAACATTAGTAATAGTAGCATCTAAGTTGGAAGTGGAAAAGTCGAAAGTCTATTTGAAGATGACTTATTGCATACAAAAATACTAAAAAATCCACTGAAAAATATGAAAATTGGCAAGCTCAACAAAACTGTTAAGATACATACAAATCAACTGTGTATCCATATATTAACAATAAAGAATTGGAAAACTAAAGGAAACAATTCCGCCCATAGCAACATGGGGAAAAATTAGAAATGAACAAAAGAAGTGTTAAAGGGGGTCTGAGTGATAGTACAGGAGCAATAGCATAGCATCTAGGGCACTTGCTTTGCCCAACCCAGTTTGATTCCTAGCATCCCATATGGTCCTCCAAGCACCACCAGGAGTAATTCCTGAGTGCAAAGCCAGACTTAAGCCCTGAGCATCATCAGGTGTGGTCCAAAAACAAAACAAAGAAAAGTAACAAGGAATATGAGTCATACTTTTTAAAAAAAGCAACATATTGAAAAATATTAACAATCTAAATAAATGAAAAGATAAATTTGTACAGATCAGAAGACTAAATATCTTTAAGATGTGAATATACTCCCACAATCCCTTATCGAAGTCTAGCTCCCTGTTTGTAGAAACTGACAAGCTATTTCTAAATTATATGAAAATGAAGTGGACCCAATACCACAAAAATGATCTTGAAAATAAAAATTAGGATTGCTCTTCAAGCACCTGTCCTCCCTTCAGCAAGACTTGCTTATCTCTATGCATCTTTACATGTATGCAAGGGAGAGAAGTCTGTGCTCTCTCTTGAACATTTATTCCCTCTCTCCCCTTCATAGCTTTCTAAATAAGTTTTAATAGAAACTAACTTGCTTCACAGAAAAAATAAATTAGAGTTCACATCTCATGACTTTATAAATTAAAAATAATTACAATAGCCAAGACAGTCAATAAAAACAAGTGTCGATGCATATAGTTGTACCATAAAGCATGAATTTATATCTTAAAAATGACAATAGAGGGACCAGAGAAATACAACAAGTAGGGTATTTGCCTAGCATGTGGCCAACTGGGGTTCAATTCTTGGCACCCTGCATGGTTCCCTTAGCACTGTCAAGTATGAGCATAGAGTCAGGACTAAGCTCTGAGCACTGCCAAATATGGACCCAAACAAAAACAAAAATGACATAAAGAAAAAAATGCATCAAGTTAACAAATTACACATTAAGAGAGCCTAGAACCAGAGGTCAACAACGTGTCTGAAATCTAAGAAAAATACTTTTCCATTTTTTTTTGGGGGGGGGGGCGGGGGAGGCTATACCCAGTAATGCTCAGGGATTACTCCTAGTTCTGTTTTCAGGGATCATTCCTTGCAGTGGTTGGGGAGCTATATGTAGTGCTAGAGACTGAACTGTAAATGCACCTAAAAACCCTGTACTGTCTCTTTGACCTCTGTCTTATTTTCTTTATTAATAAAGATTGTGTATGAAGTTCATTAATCTGGGACGGGAGAGACGGTACAACAAGTAGGGGATTTGCCTTGCATGTGACCAACCCAGATTTGATCCCCAGCATATGGTGCCCCAAGCACTGCCAGGAGGGATTCCTCACTAAAGAGTCAGGAGTAACCCTTGAGCATTGTCGGATGTAATCCAAAAAGTCAAAAAAAAAAAAAGTTCATTAATTTTCTTAAATCAAGATCATACAATATGAAAGACAGTATATATAATAAAAATAAATGCCATATGGACAAATTCCAGAAATACTCCTCTTTTAAATGGGGAGGGGGCAAAGAATGGTGAGGGAGAGTGAGGAAAAGAGATGGGCAGGATGATGTTATAACGATATTCTTTAGGGTCACTGCATAAAGAGTCCACTCTAAAATAATTGAGGACCGAATGGCTAAAAGGCACATGAGAAAATGCTCCACATCATTAATCATCAGGGAGATGCAGATCAAAACCACAATGAGATATCATTTCACACCACAGAAACTGGCCCATATCCACAAGAACAAAAGCAACCGGTACTGGCGTGGATGTGGCAAGAAAGGGACACTCCTTTACCGCTGGTGGGAATGCCAACTGGTTCAGCCCTTTTGGAAAATAGTATGGACGATTCTCAGAAAATTAGAAATTGAGCTCCCATTTGACCCAGCAATACCACTCCTGGGAATATATCCCAGAGAGGCAAAAAAGTATAGTCGAAGTGACATCTGCACTTGTTTGTTCATTGCAGCACTCTTTACAATAGCCCTAATCTAGAAAAAACCTGAGTGCCCGAGAACAGATGACTGGTTAAAGAAACTTTGGTAGATTTACACAATGGAGTACTATGTAGCAGTTAGAAAAGATGTAGACATGAAATTTACATACAAGCGGTACTACATGAAAAGTATCATGTTAAGTGAAATGACTCAGAAAGAGAGGAATAGACATAGAAAGATTGCATTCATCTGGGGAACATAAAGTAACAAAATAGGAGACTAACACCCAAGAATGGCCGAGATTAGTACCAGGAATTTTACTCCATGGCTTGGAGGTCAGTCACACATGCTAGGGGGAAAGGGAGCTCAGATAGAGAAGGGAACAGCAAGTAAAGGGTGTTCGGAGGATCATCCCAGGATGGAAGAAGCATGCCGAAAGTAGACTACAGACCAAACATGATTGCCACCCATTGCCTCTTTTGCAAACCACAACACCCAATAGGAGAGAGAGAGAACAAAAGGGAATGCCCTGCCACAGAGGCAGGTGGGATGGGGGGATAGGGGGTGGGAGGGATACTGGGATCCGTGGTGGTGGGAAATGGGCACTGGTGGAGTGATGGGTATTTGATTATTGTATAATTGAAACCCAAGCACAAAAATTTGTAAGTCTACAACTGTACCTCATGGTGACTCACTTATAAGAATTAAAATAAAAATAAAATAAAATGAGGACCATAAAATTTGAACAATTCTTACTCACATTCCAGAAATCTGAGTGAATTCATTAACCTAACTTTGGAGGTAAAACAATTATTACCTAAGAAACTAGAGGAATTCCGAATCAACCTAAAGTTTCCTAAATGCCCCAAATCATCTATAAATATCCCATTTCCTAAATGTCTGCCAGATCTATAAACAGTCATAATATTTATTGACTATTTATTACATTTA